CCTCATTAAGCTCCTGTTCATTATCAATAACGCCTCCTGTGTTCTCTTCCCAGTTCAGCTTGGCTTCTCCCCAAAACCTGCGTTTCTCATCTAATCCTAAAAAAAAAAAGTTTCCCAAAAACAATTGCAGGGCGGGAAGACATTTTTACCATTTCTGTGGTCATGGGAGGTTTTGAGGACATGCTGGTTCCTGGGGTACGTTCAGCTCACCTTCAATCAGTGTGTCTTTTCCAATGTGTCCTTCGAACAGAAGCTGAGCAGAGACATGCTGGGGAGAAAGGGCTGCGCTAGAACAGCACTTGTGCTCTGGGGTGTGCAAAGCTCCCCAGTACGGCGGGGGGCAGCAGCCAGACCAGAGCACAGAGCAGCTGCCCCAGCTCCATCCACACCCAGTGCCCCCCGAGGGCTCTCCAAGGCACAGGGGGGGTGTAGGGCGCAAATCCCAGCGGTGTCAGATGGGGAAAGGCCAGTGCAATGGGGGCGCAAGGGCAGGCAGCACAAAGCCAAATGTGTGGTGGGGAGAGCGTGGTCAAGTGGGTCTGGTGCCTGACTGCAGAGCAGGGGGCTGAGCCCCCCGTGGCTGAGTGTCCCTTGGCCCTGGGGTCTCACCCCAGGGTGCAGGCAGGGCTGCAAGAAGCTCCTCGTTGGCAGCAGTTGCTGGCTCTTGCCCAGCACCAGGGAATTTGCAGCCCTGAGAAAGCCATGTTTCACTGCATCATTTCCCCTGGGGCTGTTTTCTTCCCTCTCTGCACCCTGGTCCTCATACACTGGACAACAAAGATGCTCCCATGCATGGGAAGCACAGGTTCAGCCTTTTGCTGCCTGAGGCTTAGCACTCCAGAGGGGGGAGAGGAGAGAAACAGCAGGAACAAAACTTGGTGCCACCCGAGTGAGGCCATTGCTGCTGGAAATCCCTCTGACCACGCACGATGCTGCCACCAGCACACCCCAGCGGGAGTGCGGGTACAGCATCTCCAGGAAAAGCAAAGAAAACACTGCCCGTAGGAAGCTAAATGATCAAACACCCCCAAGAGCCACCTAATGCCACCCAAACTTATAAGAAGGATGTAAAAAGTGTTCTCTGGCCATGCTTTCAAGCATGGCTCTGAAGCTGGTCACCCAAAGAGGTGGGAGTCAACTGGTCCCAGGTAACACCAGCCTGGAGACACCCCTTCAGCCCCTTTCCCCAGCTCCCAAAGCAGGCAGGGTTTTCTGAGTGGCCCAGGGACCTGCAGCTCGGCTGCCTGGCGCTGTGGGTGGTCCAGCACCAGGGACTGCCACAGGTTTGCTGCTTTCCGGACAGCGGAGCCATTTCCTCCCACACCTAAGAGACAAAAATTACTTAGAAAGAAACTTCACTTTAGGCTCCACTAGTGTGATACCACCCTGACCACAGCTGCCTTTTAAAATCCATTAGCTCCATAGGAAAAGACCCACCAAGCAGCTTTTTAATGCAACAAACCTGAGAGGGCATTATCCCAAAGGCACTTACGTGGAGGACTCTGGTTCCAGGGCAGCACAGCCAAACTGTGTGACCCCAATGACCAGCCCCTTGCAGAAATGCAGTTTCTGGCAGAGGAGTGAACGTTTTTTCTCACTAGAGCTTGTTCTGCTCCAGGAAGAGGTTTGCATGACACTTGCAGGGTTGTCATCCTCCAGCATCAAACAGCTTTTTGCTGGGGCTCAGATGATGAAACAGGGAGCAGCTAAAGCGGGTAAAAATGCAGCTGAAATTCCCTGCTCTGCCCTGACCCAACACAGACCCCTGCCCAGATAAGTCTAAATAAACATCTTTAACTGCTCTGCTTTTGCACCTTCTAGGACAGCCTGAAAGATACCCGTGCCCCAGCCAGAACCATCCTTTCCTTAACACCCTCCAGAAATCATCCTTTCATCAACAGGCCCCAAGGCAAAAGCTGGTTGTGATTCCCTCAGTAACCACCTCACCTGAGCACTCAGCATGTGGGACTGCACAACTGGCCAGATAAAGCATCTGCCTTTGCACCGAAGCCTGGGGCAGTTTGTAGCTGCTCCTTGTTGTGATAAGTAATAGAAGAATTTTGCTTTCGCTAAAAGTAATTAAAAATTTACTTCTTAGGCTAAAGCTATTATTAGTACAATGATCAAAATTTTAAGAAAAGTAAAAGACTTTACTGCTGGGAAAAGGGGGGAATTGATCTGAGGAAACACCAACCCAACAGCCCCCCCTCTTGGGATGCTCACCAGATGATCCATATCACAGGGCGGTAACTCCTTTGCAATGGATTGAGAAAGAACAGAATGGGCCATCCCTGGTATCCCTTGTCCTTGAGACAAGAGAGGAACTGAAACCACTGAGCCATAAAAGACAAAGGAGCTGCAAATTGGCCCAGACTTGAAGGACAAGGTGTATGTGACCACAGGACTGAAGAAAGAAGATTGTAGAAGAAGCCAGGAGGCGTGCCGAAGGTGTTGAAACCGGCAGCTGGGTGGATAAAAGGGGGTTTGAAACTTAAACAATTTGGTGAGCCTGGACGGAGCTGCGACTCCTCGGCCACCCCAGCGCTGCATTTGCTCTCTTACCTTAATAAAGATTCATTAATCCATATTTGGATGTGATTGGCCTTAATCTACCTAAAACATCATTGCTTCCCTTTCTCGTGAGATCTAATTTGGGACCGCTGGCCAGGAGCACACAACCACATCGTCCCAACAACATCCTGGACGGCGGTTGTGGGCACACTGAGCAAGCCTCAAGATTCCGTGAGGCTCTTGCTGCCCCAAAACACATCGTGGACCATCCCAACCTCCCCTCTTCAGGCTTCCTCTCTACAAGCTCTGTCCCCCGCGGCTGCGCTCAGACACACGCGTTCAGCAGCACGGGGTTTGTTCGCACTTCTTGGTTCTCCCAGAGCATTTACCTCCTTAACTGACCTCTGCCACCGGGGATGGGGAACATCTTCCCACCGAGCAGCCAAAACCAGAACCCCCCGGGCAGCAGCACCAGCAGGCCCGGCAGCGCTGCGGCACCAGAATGGGGAGAAAACGCACAGAATAGGGGTTGGCATCGGCAAAATGGTGGAATGGGGGGCAGGCCCACCCCAGATGGGACTCGAACCCACAATCCCTGGCTTAGGAGGCCAGTGCCTTATCCATTAGGCCACTGGGGCTGGCGCAGGGCGCGCGCCCCGGCCCGCGGGAACGGCCCTGCCCCCCCCTGCTCCCCCCTCCCCGCCCCGGGGGCGCCGGGGGAAGCGGGAGCGGAGCAGCGGGGCGCGGGGGGGCAGGACACGGCGCCAAACGCGGGTTTGCTCCCCCGCACACCCCCCACCCCCCCCCCACAGGGGAAGAGGCGCGAAGGGAGAAAAGCTGGAGCAGGTGTAAAAGTGTGGGGAGGGGGAAAAGGTCCGACCACGAAGGGACTCGAACCCTCAATCTTCTGATCCGAAGTCAGACGCCTTATCCATTAGGCCACGCGGTCGCCGGTGGCGTAAGCGCCCCCCGGTGCTGCTGCCAAGCCGCAGCATCCCTCCGCCCCCCCCCCCCCCCCCCCCCCCCCCCCCCCCCCCCCGCCCCGGTCCCCCCGGTCCCACCGGAGCCCCCGGGTGCCGGGGCCACGCTGAGACGCCCAGAAGACGTGGGACGCCGGGGAAGGGCTGCCTGTTGCCGCAGGCAGGCCGTGGGGGAAGCGAGCGTGGGACTTGGCGGCTGCCATCGCTGCGCTGGAGCCGGGGGTCGGTCCCGCGGCCAGGACCTGGGGGGCTTTGCCGCGGAGGGGCAGGAGCAGGGTGGGTGCTGCGCCGTGCGGGGTCTCTCACTAAGCATCCGAGCCAGCCCACCGCCTCAGCCAGCCTCACGAGGGCCACGCGGGACCGGCTTCCACCCCTCCTCTGCCCTCCCACGGCGAGCTGCCTGCTGGTGGGCTGTGCAGAGCCGGGGGACCTTGCCGCAGCAGGACACGGTGGGTACCAAAAGTTTGAAGAGCAACAGGACAGATTCGCAGCTCCCGTGTGCTCGCAATGCCACCAGCTGCTGGCAGGCGTAAGGGTTTCCTGGAGGCCAAGTCACCTCGAGCACCATTCTGGGGGCTCAATGTTGTCCCACCTCTAGTGACACTGTCACCCGCCAGCATAAGCTCCTGCAACCAACACAGCGCTCAAGCACCAGCTGAGAGGTCACCCTTACTTCTCCCCGTGTCCCATATGTCTGGTTCAAACTCTGTCTTGTGGCCCACACGCTTCCCACCTCCTATCTCAGACACAACCAGAGGCCACAGTAATAAGGTGCCACCTGTGATGTCCCAGCGGGATGGGACTTTCCAAGCACACAAGAATTGGAGCCGCTCCCCCACAGTGGAACCATCACTTCAAGCACCTGGAGATATCGCTGGAATCACAGCAGAAAAATTAGGCAGTGACAGAGAGGACGGCAGCTGAGGGAAAGACAGACGGAGATGTAAATAAAAAAGTCTCTGACCCTTTCATCTTAACCATGAGGTCTTGGAGAAGAACCTCAAGAGCACAGGAGATCAGCGAGGAGGTAGAAACAGAAAATCAGTGGGTGAGTGAAAGGCTCAGTGCTTTGGGAAATGAGGAGGTACTGCTATGGAGCAGGACCGGGCTCAGAGGAGAACAGCCTCCCCTCTGCCTCCCCAGCACCCCTCATGCCACACCAGCACTAATTCCTATTCCATTTCAGTGGGGTTGCAGCAGACTCTCAGACTTGTAAATGAGACAAGATTTGCTTCTGAGTGGCTCTGGCTCCTTGCCTTTTCTTTGTGGAGATGGGCCCTTTCTTTGACCTCTCCCTCGAATTGTTGGAATTTTTTTTTTAATGACCTTATTTTTCCTTTACCACAACTAAAGGCTGCTCCCAAGAGCCAGCTGAGTGCATCGAACCATTAGCAAATTCTTCCTCCCAATGCAAATAAATACATAAAACGTCTAGCTTCTGTTTACAAAATATCAGTCTCATTAATAAATATCAAATCAACTTCTACATAACAAATGACGCGTCCTGGAACCGTTCATAAGACACACGGTACCATTTGCCTCCCTATTTGGAAGCAGGAGACAATGCAGGGAGCTTTTATAGCTATCCTCACCTTTTCTCTTGGGACAGGTAAGCTCAAGAGGGATGGAAAAGCTTTGAGGAATTCTATTCTCATGTACATGAGAAGGGATTCATCTGTGTTAATGATATTTTTCATATTAACAGCTCCATACCCTTTCTCTTTTGGTACATCTCTCTCTCATAGGTTGAGATCTTGTCTGATCCTTTTCTGATTCATGTGGAATTTTTTTTTTTTTTTTTTGTAGCAGGGGCTGCTCCAAGGTACGTCTGCACCTACTATGATGTTGTTGAGTACCTGAACATTTCCTCTCACAGCAAGCTGCATGCACACATACTGCCCAAGGCAGACTCAAAGGAGCCTGTGGAAGTGAAGATGGATTTTATGCTGGTGGCTATTCTCTCTGTGGTAAGGACCCAAAACTGCTGTTGAGTGTTTATAACAGAAAACTGGGTGATTGCTAGATTGGGGTCTGAGTCTTCTGTCAGACAGAAGACCGTGGGGATGAGAATCAGCCCCTTCCACTTCTTCAGCTTTCTGCTGTTTGAAAGCATTTTTGGAAGATCTGGAGTATTTTCTCCCATCTACTTCCAGGAAAAAGTTCAGAGACAGGTTCAAAACAACCCTGTCAAGTGCCTGAATGGAGCAATGCATTTACAGGGCACTAGCATGTAAATGTTAACAATTTTTGTTTTGTTTTGTTTTGTTTTAACCATTGGACCATATGTTCCCACTCTTCAGCCATAGGACTAAGATCCTTGAGCTCTCCTCCTGAGCCGAGTTTCTGCAATCTGTGCTGTCCACTGCAAGAGCAACAGGGGAGAGCTTCTGGGCTCTGCATTGGATATATATTTAAAAATCAGCTAAATATCTTCTCTTCTGTGTCTCCAGGTCGAAAAGCTCCAGACAGTCACTTTTTACTTCGTGTTGAACCTGGTAGGTCCCTCAAGAACATTTCTTTCCTGTGATGCCCAGCCCAGCACTCATTTATCTCCTGCAACTTCTTCCCCCAGGAGTGGAAAAACACTTTTGCAACATGGAACCCGCTGGATTTCTGTAACATTTCCAAAATTGTTCTGCCAACAGATACGTATTGGTCTCCCCCCATCTTCATTTTAGAACGGTAGGTTCCACTTTCATTTTTATCCCCTGACTTAAGAGAAATACAATGGATTCAAACTGTTGGTATTATTGTAGGAAATGGGATAAACTCATATGGTTAAAAGTTGTTCACGTGAGCTGTCTGTAACCAAGAACCTTGTAATTTAGATTAATGGCGACCACAGTTTATACAAAGCACTTCGTGGCTCTGTAACATCTCCAGAAACATCCCATCTGGGCTGTAGTTAAAGCTGAGGAAGCTGCAGAGACCAGCAATGTGGTGGAATGAAATGACCCTCAGCAGTTTGTCATAAAATACAGGACAGAGGACTGTGGGTCTGCCAGAAAGGTGGGCACTGCCGCTACCTCTTCGGTGTGGGGCAAGGAGAGGGAGGCAGCTCTGCAGCATGGCAGAGCCAGAAGCCAGCCCCTGCCCCGGGCGAGCACGGGGAGCAGAGGGGAGAGAGCAGGGACTATCCTTAGGAGGTGCAGAGCTACTACAATCCTTAGTCCAGGGGCATTTACCAGCCCTTCTTCAAGCCCCAGGTTTCCTCTCCTTACTGCTACGTCCTGTGGCTGGGTGACGGCGTGGAGCCCCCCCCCCCCCCCCCCCCAAGGGTGCTAGAGACCAGGATTTTGTGTGGCTGAGGAGCACTGCAGAGTCTTGGACCTCAGTCGCTCTCCACTTCTGTCTCCTCCAGAGTGAATGGACAAAACTCAAACTTGGATTATATGGTCGTCATGCACAACGGCAGCTTCAACTCCACCCAGACCTTCCAGGTTACCTTAACGTGCAGCTTGATGATCCTCAAGTTTCCCTTTGACACCCAGACATGCAACATAAGCATAGCTTCATTTCTCTACCCAGGTACAGCAGCAAGCTGAGTTTTACCACAGCTGGACTAAATTTGCAGAAGGAGGAATAGATGAGATGGACCCTGGCTAACTCCTGGGTTCCCTTAGCAGCACCACACTCTCACGCTGGGTTAACAGGGTTGAGATCACATAATACCAAGGAAAATGAGCTAAAACACCATCATTCTGTTTTGGCACGTTTCCCAGAAACATCTCTAGAAACATCTGGATGTTCTGTGGCAAGTCTCCCCCTAGGACTGGTCTCTACAAACCAAGAGACTAGAAGGCTTCCTGCAACAAGACTACTTGTTCACACACAATTTTGCAGGACTGATCTTTAAATGTATCTGAAAGCCATGAAAACAAGAGGAAATTAAGGACAATTTCAGGCATCCAAACTGCAGCCAGAGTCCATCCCAAAGGGAAGGGTTGAAAAATAAGCAGAGGTGGCACAAAACCCTCCTGCTCCAATCTACAAAGGACAAGTGTCCTAATTCACCAGAGATTTCCCCTCTGATCCACACTCCCTGAGGTCCTGCCAAGTCTCTTCAACAGAGTCCTTTTTAATTTCTCCCTGATGGGCTAAGAAACCCCAGCACGGCAAGAAACATTGCCTTTCTGCATCTGCACACACCCTTTGTTGGGAGGGAAAGGGAGAGGAAGTAACTGACCTCTAATAAATACCTAAATTCTGCAACTTCTCTCCCCCTCTGCCTCCTGACCAAGCAGTAACAGAACTCGTCATGAAGATGAGACGGACACCAGCAGAGATGATGAAAGACAGCCAGAGTTACTTCCTAACTGATGGAGAATGGAAGTTCACCAACCTGAGCATTATTGAATATGTAGAAAAGCTGGATAATGAAGAATTTCCCGTGGTCACCTACATGGTACAGCAGTACTTTCATATTATATTGCACTGATTTGCCACACACAAAAAAAAAAAAAAAAAAAAGTATGCAAGATCATTTCCTACATTAGGGAGCAAGTATTCACTTAACACAGTAAATTATCTCCTGGTCACCTAAATTTTGTTCAACAGATTTCCATGGAGAGACGACCCACTCTGTATATTTTGAACCTGATCCTCCCAACGTGTGCCCTGTATCTGCTGGATATGGCTGTATTGTTTGGACCCAGCTCTCTTGAGGAGAAAATCAGTTTCCAGATTGCCATCATCCTTGGAAGCTCCATGTTAGCTGTGATTCTCAATAACATCCTCCCAACTTCCTCCAACAAACCACCCATAATAGGTACCCAACTTTATTGAATAAAAACTACCCGATTTTTACACAGGTACCAACCCTAAGGAAGGTCTTTGGGTGTTTATGGACACATTAATTAACAGCTAAGCTTTATCAGCTTGCTGGAGTTAGAACTTTCCCCCTTTCCCCACCAGGCAACTGAATGCAGACAGGGTTACATTTGATAAAATGATGCCAATTATCATGGGCTTTCTTTGTTTTCATATTGCTCTGCAGTGGTATTCTTCTTAGGCACCTTCCTGCTCATGATCATGGCTGTGTTGGACACCTTCTTCCTATTGCACCAGCAGCACAAATCTCTACGCTTGGACAAGGTTCTCAGAAGCTTCCAGCAAGGTAAAACAACCCATAACCTCTTAAACAAGCAGGTTTGGTGCATTTTACTGCAGGTTCATTTAGTCGAGGGCAGGTTTCCTCAGGGCAACCAGTGCCCGAGGCAGTATCAGCCATGGCAGTCACTCACCGAGCCCCCAGTGCTGACCCGTGCTATTTGCTCTTTGTAGATGTGCACGCCAAGCTGGCGAGGAGAGCCACCAACAACCAGATCATGAAACGCCTCGCCAAGGAAGGCTCTCAACTGCTGAACCTCCCCAAGAAGGCCCAGGAAAAAGGGCAGCCAGCCAAGCCCCACTGGCAACCGCAGGAGCTGGACCCATTCCTGCCAGTTCTGGAGAAGGTACTTCTCTACAGTCACTTCTTCCTGTCTGTGTTTTTTTTTGCTCTTATTTCTATAAAATGGAGCAGCTAGAGACCACCTCTGCACAGTGCTGGTTTAGTTGTTCTCTGTTGTATTGCATCTAACCCATCCACCGTAATTTTTTTTCCTGCTCGATTCATAAATTTACAGCTGTGTCAGTTGTCTAAATAAAAAAATAAAACCCCAAACCCACAGGGCATGAGATCTGCATGCTTAGTGCTTTGTACTCGAGTTCAGTAGACCTACCGATGTTCCTGAAGTATTCCGTGGGCTAGCAAGTTATTTGAATAAAACAATTGTGACATCTGGGGATAACACCTTCATTCTATCCATCTGTAATTCTTACCAGAAACATGACCAACAGAAAAGGGAGCTAATGCCCTTCTTCTCTTATGGAGATGTTTCTATTTTGGGGAGAGGCGTTTAAGAATTGCACCTCAGATAACTAAATAAAACAATGCAAGTCTGAAGCATTTGTACTATTGTTTCAGTTAGATCCTCGTAATTCAGAAACTCAGGACAGAGAATAATAGGATCACCAGTATTAAAGGGGTGATACTTGGGATGTTTTAAGAAAATTTTAAAATAACTATTTTTTAAAAATGTATCTCAACACATCTACACTCCTTCAACTCCTTTTGCAATTGGCTGCACCTAAACCATCACAACCAGCCCAGGCAACAGCCCTAGACCTCTACCTGTAGAACTACTGAGACGTACCTCCCACAGAATTGCAGATCACTACTAAATACACTCCGTCACGATAAAAGGTTCAACTTCTAAGCAACCATTTGCCTGCAATGGCAGAAGAGCTACATTCCCTGCAGCACGTGGTTACACAGATGAACAGACGGTTTATTTGCAATACTGAAGATGCCATAGGACTCAGTTTAATCAACAGGTCTAGCTGGGATCTTGGTTCTTGCTATAAAAACAAGCTCACAGGTAGAAAAGACAAAATCCAGGAAAAGTGGGCTGTTTGCAAGTTAGTGTATTGTTCCACGTTTCTCAAAACCTTGCAACTTCGTGTCTAAGATCTAAGCCACAGACAGGAGGGAAAGCACTTTATTTAAAAGATCATAGAGTCTGACAGTCGTTAGACAAACTGCTTCCAGACAAATTTACAGATCAGCAATCGGTTTGTGGGGCCAGAACGGGTATTTCTCCTTGTCCAGTTTGGTTTCAGGGAAGGCTTCATTCAAGTCTTCAAATGTCATCAGTTCAAAGGGAATCATGTTTCTGAGCTTCTGAAGCTTGAAGTGGGAGCAGAGACAAACACGTTACACATCACTTGTCAGCAAGAAAGAGCAAAGCACACACAAGTAAGAATAAGGTGTGTGCCAGGTTGGGTTAAAGAGAATATTCACTAAGCAAAGTCCAGACTTACTTGTTGCTCATACTGAGCAATACGAGCCTTGGAAGCCTGCACATATTCAGCAGCGCTCTTTGCCTGCAGGAAAGCAGAGGACATGATGAGTATGGTTATGATAAAGACAGCGACCTAGAGTGAACCTGCAACCCCGTGCTTTAAGTTGGCATTAAAATTTATCATTACGTTAGATTAGCCAACAGAATCTTGATCAAATCCCAAATAGTCACACACTCCCATGTGCAGAGATCCTTTTGGTTAGCCAAAAGCCAAGAGACATGCTCTAGCTCAGGCTGCCCTGGGCAGATGCACATACAGAACATCCCTTCCCTCCCACAGAGACAACCCCAGCATTAGGGAACAGTTTAAACACTTACAGCCTCCTGCTCTTGGGCATCAATTTTGGCAGTTTGGGTATCCACTGGCTCAGGAACCTTTAGTGCAGTGAACTGTAAAACAAAAGAGAAAAATTTTTATAGTTTGATTGAAAGAATCTTTCAAACCAAGGTCATTTTCCCTAGCAGGAGGGAAACATTCCTTCCTTTCTTCCCAGGATATGCTCACAACCGTGTAAGTCAATGACCTTTCTAAAACTGATCACTGCAGCTTGACTGTGTTCTTCGCAAGTAGCACTGCTCACCTGTGAGCTTAAAGCAATCTATCCTGTACTGCACACCACCACCAGGACACGTAATACTACGCACATTCATCACAGCACTGTAAGGAAGCAAGAAAGTCTAGTATCAAAGGCTCATCGTATCACAGGCTTATTTCCCCCAAGATAAAGTTCCCAGATCCATCTGAGGTCAGGGGGTCCCTCCCAGTCCTGGGAGGCCAATTTTCATAGTGCCAGTGACACCACGTGTCCTTCAGCAGAAGCCTCGCTCACACTTTTCAATTCCTGCTTATAAAGAGGATGGCAACCCCTGCAGGCATCCACGAGCCTTACACGTTCCACAGAGTGCTGAGCCACACTCGCCACCTTCTTCCATGAAGTGAGTTAGAGAAATACTTCAAACCTTGGCTTCAGGAGAGGCACTACCCAAATACACTCCTGCAGGCAAAGTAATTTATCAAGTTTTCTTTCGCCAGCTTTCTCACCGTACAGTGCCACAGGTTTCCTCCTGAAAGGCAGCACTGGAGTGACCCCTCCAGGTTAGTGACACCGATCTGCAGGATGCAAAGCTGGGCATCTGCTAGCTAAAACCAACCTCCTCTGCCGATTCTGGTGTTTTCCCCTTAATATTAAAGACATTCCTCATTTAAACCTCCAAAAAGCAATACCCAGCTGACAGAGGGACTGACCTTCTTCTGAAACTCATCCACCATGCCGGCTTTAGCAACAACAGCCTTGTAGTGAGCCCAGTCGATGGTCGGGGGTTTCTCTGGCAGGGCGGCCATCCTAAAGGGACGGAGGACAGCAGTCATGACCAGTGCTAGAAGTAACCTTGTGCTATCATTTCTCTCTGCCACAGTTACTTTCCAGAACGTCAACAAAACCTGCTAAGTTCAGTTTAAATATTTTCAGGCCTGTCACTAACAAGCAACGATGAACCATTTCTGCAAATCCCTCTGCCCTTGAAGCAGACTTGTTTCTGCAGACTAAGAAGAGCTCAGTCCTGCCCCACTTCAAACTACTATATAGCGTCTTTGGGTGCAGGCCTGTAAGAAAAGATGAGGCGGTTTTCACAATACTGAGCTAGAGGCAATCAGCAATATTAGCTGCAACAGCCAACATTTTTATCAAGCAGCGGCTACTGAGGGATTTGGGAAGACTCATGAATTGTACAGTATTTAACAGACTAACAAACCTTGCAAACTGTTCTGATCACACCAAATCAAGCTGCTTTCACAGAACTGCCTTTTTGCATTGCAGCTATCATTTTACTCGGGGGAGGATTAAGTGAAGACGATTTGCCAAAAAAACCCACCAGTTGCCTCGAAGGTGACCTGTTTTAATGCCTGCCAGGTCACTTGTGTGAGACCACGGTTACCGACACCAGCTCGACCCGGCACCCCGAAGGCTGAGGGGTTCAGCGGAGGACCTGAACCGCCCCACGGTGTCCTGGGCTGAGTGAGTGGTGGAGATTTTTGGTGGCAGGGGAGGGGGCTATCGGGGCAGGAGCCGGGCGGACACTCACCGGGCCGAAAGCACGTCGCTGCGGGTCTTCAGGGCGTTGAACATTGCTCTCTGGTTGGGGGGGACCCTCTCGGCGAAGGCGGCCCAGTCAATGGCCTTGATGGCAGCTCTGCGGCCCGCCATGCTCCCGGGCTGCGCCGGGAGAGGTGACACGGGTGGGTTATGCTGAGCGGGGGGGACACACACACACGGGGACACGGGGGTAGGCAGGGCCCAGCGACGGCGGGGCTGGGGGGAGAACGACTGCGGCCCGGGAACCCCGGTACCGAGGGCGGAGCACCCAAATCCACCCCGGCCTGTTCCCTCCCGCAGCCCCGAGCAACCCCGCACCCCCCGGCCTGGTTCCGCCCCCCCAACTCCGAGCAGCCACGCACCCCCCACCCCCAGCCCCGAGCGACCCTCGGCCCGGTTCCCACCCCCCCGCACCCCCCCCCCCCCCGCCCCGCCGCGTCCCCGCTCTCACCTTCACCGACCGCCACCGGACGCAGCCGCGGGCAGTGCCGGAATTCCCGCCCCCCCCCCCAATCAGAGCGCAGCCCCGCCGGAACAGCGTCACCCCCGGTCCCTGCCGGTGACGGCCGCGGCTGCCCCGGAAGCGGCGGCGGGGCGGGGCGGGGATGGCGGCGCCGGGTCGCTGAGCGGCACCGCCATGGCCGAGCTGGCGGCGGCAGCGGAGGGGCCGCCGCGGGGCCGCACGCCCAGTCCGGGCCCGGGGGGGGCCCCGGGGCCGCCCAGCCCCCGCGGGGCCGGAGCGGCGGCGGGTCCCGGCGCGGCGCTGTCCCCGCCCGGCGCCGCCGCCGCCGCCGCCGCCTCCTCGAAGTGGGTGCGCCTGAACGTGGGCGGCACGTACTTCGTGAGCACCCGGCAGACGCTGTGCCGGGAGCCCAAGTCTTTCTTGTGCCGCCTCTGCTGCCAGGACGGGCCCGAGCTCGGCTCCGACAAGGTGAGGCCGCGGCGGGGACCGGCCCCTTCCCCGCCCGGTGCCCCCAGGGCCAGCACCCCCCCGGCCCCGCCGCGCGGGATGGGTGACAGCCCCGGCTGCCGGTGCCCCCCCGGGGCCGGCACAGCACCCCCCGCCCCGGCCCCGCAGCACCCCCGCGGTCCCCGGGGCACGTGTCACACCGTCCCCTTCTCCCCCGTGTCCCCTCACGCGGCCGGGGAGTTGGCAGAGCCCCCAAAAACGGGGCGCGGAGCCAGCCCCCGCGGCGGTGACACCCCGGCACCGATGCCCTCCGCGGTGACGGGACTGACCCCGCGGAGCAAACCAGCTCCTCTCGCTGGTTATCGCGGAGAGGGAGCTGGAAAGAAGCTTTCCAAGAAACAGGAATTTTGATGGTTTCTCACCCTGAGCACGTATTACTATTTTCAAAAATACATTTCGCTTTGCTCTCATAGAAGATCACAGTGCGCGTTCCTTACGTGGGTGGGTAGTTTTGAGGGGATTGCAGTTGATCGCAAGGGTTTTGCAAACAGTTGTTCTTGCAATTGCAGTTTTTTCTATAGGATCCGCTGCACAAGATTTTGTAAAAATTTTGTGGGTAGGTCAGACTGAGAATTGCTCAGGTCTCTTGCCACTCTGTTCAGAGTTTAATCAAAAGATGATTCCTGGTTGTGATCAAAATAGCAGTCACAGGCATCAGAGAATAGAGGAGATGACATTTCAGAATGTTTTTTTCACAGCTTTTTATTGCCTGAGAGCAGATTGATTGGCAGGAGAAATGTTGCTTTAAAGTGATTTAGGGGAGTGATATGAAACTTCAGAGCTGGCTCAAGAAATGCTTTTGGTTGTGAATTGT